TTTATATATATATATATATATATATATATATATATATATATATATATATATATATATATATATATATATACACACACACACACACACACACACACACACACACACACACACACACAGACATATATATACACACATTTATACATATATATACATATATACTGTGTATGTGTGTTTGAATATATATACTATGAATAAAGATTTCTGTCTTCCCTTATTCAAATACTTGACTTGAAGATACAAAGACTGCAGAGTGAACTAACTTGCCTTATATATCCTTCATGATGCTTGCGTTGAAGCCCTGATGGAGTCATGTGAAAGGCAATCATTTCATACTCTACCATAAAGTCCACAGTGAGAGATACAGTATATGCTAAAATAATATCTGAGGACTGTGAGCAGACAGCAGGCTAGTTTTAGGAGGGAGAGGAGAGTACAGTAGGATGATAGAAGTGTGTTCACTGTCACTCAGTATTAGTGTGTATCTTTGGACACGGAGCTTCATTATAGTGGAGAGCAGACTGGCGTCAGGCCCAGTGAACTAACACACTCCCTGCTCCCTCTAATTAACTTCCCTCGCTTGGCTAATGTGACCACCCTTCAAAACAATAACAGCATCAATGAATGCACTATTGACGGCTGTAGATGCTACTATTGTCACTCGCAGTCGGACAGACAAAGAATAACATGCACAAGAATCCTATTTGCTCCATTTAATTAAAGACAACTGACAGTAACGACAGGACACAGAGGAAATCATCACTATAACAACAACTATAATTTCCTAGATAGTCGGCAGACACTACTCATTACCAGAAGGACCATACAAACTTGTTTTTGTCACACCTTTTCAGCCAACTACGACAACTAACTAAAGCTACACAACTAGCTCTACGGGCCGACTGCACTTACATGGCTGGAAAGCAGAGACGAACCCAGGCGAACCGAGGTGACATCGCTGCATGAGCAGCTCTGAGTCAGTTTCTCTGTCAGTGTGTCTCTGAACACATCCAGTAAGGACCAGCGCTGTTTGGACATCATGCTCCGTGGAGCTGTCTGCACGCAGTCAGCGGGAGAGCATGAGAGTTCTGAGCGAGCTAACGCTACATGGTCTATGGTAATCTGACCTAGCAAGTTATGAGCTTTTCAGACTTCTTCCATTTCATCTAACTCATCTGAGCTGAAGCCATAAGTTAACATGACCTTGTGAGATCAAGATGCTTCTGAGAAATGACTACTATTAAATCTATGTGGAGCCTATTGTGCTAATTGAAATCTTAAGAGGGTCTGGAGAACTGTGAGATCTCCATTAGGACAGAGGAGAGTGATCTGTGGTATATCGACATTATGGTGCTATGCACTTAGCAGAAATGTCTGGTTTGAATCAATTCATATTAAATGTATCACCACTGAATATTTCAAAAGCAAAGCACATGAGTTATGAAAGCAGATATAGTCTAAAGACATAATAAATGTCTGGGATTCAAAATAAACCTTGAAAGGGTTAAATATAATTGGTTAGAAAAATATAAAAACAAAGATTCTGTACCATTTCTAGGTCACTAGGTAAAAAAATACACTGTGGCAATATTGTGGCACTGATCATGTGATTCCTTTGTACAGATGGATGGATGTTCCACTGAAGCACAATATGCTTTTTGGATCATTGTCAGATCATGGTGGAGCAAATCATCATCAGGTCTGACAAAAACTTGTGAAGCTCATGCAGCTCGAGCTCATGCAGTACGTGAAAATACTTCAAATCCTCACGTTTTCACTTTTACTATTATAAATAATAGTAATCAAAATGTGCAAATTACTATAAATATTATAGTATTATACTATTCAATATTTTTAGTTATTTAAAATTAAATATTTGTTATAAAAATTTAAATATACAAGCTTCAAAATCAATTTAAATTCAGGTTTGTAAAAATAACTATCAAAAAATTTGTATATAATTGAAAATAATTGTATCAAAATTTGGACTGTTAAAGGGCTAGGTCACCCATAAATGAAAATTCAGTCATTAATTACTCACCCTCATGTCATTCCAAACCTGAAAGACCTTCGTTCATCTTCAGAACACAAATTAAGATTTGTGCACAAAGACGACAAAAATAACAACTTTATTCTGTGTTCTGAAGATGAACAAAGGTCTTACGGGTTTGGAATGACATGAAGGTGAGTAATTAATGACAGAATTTTAATTTTTGGGTTAACTATCCCTTTAAGTTTTAGACTTTTGGATCCTTTTGGAACACTATATATTCAAGGGACAATAGATTTAAATTGTAAAAGATTGGTCAGTCAAATTAGAACACGCTCTGAATGGACAGACTCACATAGAAGGCCTGCTCTCGTAGAGAGGGTGTATCTGGAGGACTCTGGTTGTAGGTAGAGAAACGTTTGTTGACAGTAGGAGGTTTGTTCACGGTGCTAGCTGAGGACGACTGGTCATCTTTATCGAATGGACTACAGAAGAAAAGAGAGTTTTATTTTAACAGGGCATTTCAAATAAATAAAAAATGGCAATGGGTGACATTTGATGTGATCCCTTAAAGTTGTACTTACTTCCAGGTGACCTCTAGACTGAGCTTAATGGTGCCCAAGTCATTGATATCCACAGCTACTGTTTGAGGCAGGGCAGCAAACAGGTCCTTCGTCTCACACGAGACACTTCCCACCACCACATGATTGGCCAGACTCTTCAGCTCCGTCACCTTGACAACCACAAAGGAGATGTTTATTTAGGAGGAAATGTCATCATCAGTTTCATGACCAGCACAATGTCACGAGTTCCTTTCAATATTAGTAATCACTTGTGAGAAGGGCATTTTAAGATCCACTTAAACACCTTTAAATTCCATATTATCATTTTAAAATGACATAATATTTATTGGGAAATTTGTAGGATATCACTTTGAGATTTGACCAATCTTTGAAGAATTCTTGAAGAACATTTCAATCTATGATACTGTTTTTATTTGAAATGTAAAACTAATTATTATTACATAATTAATTATTTTATTTTCTAACAAAAATAATTGTATTCTTTAGAATAATAATGCACAATAACACTAGGGGCATAGTAAATTTTGTAGTTAGGATGTTGGGATGTTCCAGTCGGGCGTAAGGTTTCAAATTATGGAGTCACACTGCACTTTGAATCAGACCCAACAGTACATTTGACATATCTCAGGCCAGTCGAAAACATTTTGACAAACATCAGCTGCATTCTCTTCATTCCTCCCCTAGAGTCTCTCTGTTTTAATATCGCTGTCTTCTGTAAACTTCCCTTCACTCTATCCCATGCAGGCCTCCTGTCTCTATCACCCTGCTTTTCTCTCTCTGTCCTGGAGTGATGTTCCCTTCCTTTCACATGCAGTTACGTGTCATGGAGCCATTGGCAGAGAAAAACAAGTCAAAGTCCAGCTGCCGTGCTGTTATGTGCATTAATGTCTCACAGATTGATGTGACTGTGGTGCACATGTGAGTGTGACAGGAAGGACAGACAGAGACTAATAGTATGTGTGAGAGAAAGAGGAAGGGAGAAAAAACTTATGACAATATAAAAATGAATGTAACTGTATTTTCATATAAAAACTACCTTTATAGACAGGAACTCTGTGATAAGGGGGAGGAAGACCATCTCCTCACTATCCCACACTTGCTTGCCATTGATTTCAATCCGACCCCGCAGTTTCCACCGCTGGCGACCGTACTTCATAAAGATCTGTGGAGGTATTTAAAAGAAACAGAAAAATCCATTAACAAATTGTTAAAATGATATCTTAATCAGTATAATAATAACAATAATAATAATAATTTTAAAGTATTATTCTATTTTAATTTATAGGTTATTTCTACTGGAAAACAAGACAAAAATACTGATTAAGAAATTTGATCTGTGGCGGTATTTAAATCACACCTTCATTTAGACTGATTAACAAAATTAACAAACTATTATTATTATTATTATTAAAATTGTTATATTGTAACTTAAATATACTGATTAAGAAATTATTTGAATAATTTATCATTTATATCCTGTTGTAAAAATATTTTACTTGAAGTCTTCAATATTTTATATATGACTGGAGAGGATCTGCAAGGAGGAATGGCAGAGGATCCCCAAATCCAGGTGTGAAAAACTTGTTGCATCTTTCCCAATAAGACTCATGGCTGTATTAGATCAAAAGGGTGCTTCTACTAAATACTGAGCAAAGGGTCTGAATACTTAGGACCATGTGATGTTTCAGTTTTTCTTTTTTAATAAATCTGCAAAAATGTCAACAATTCTGTGTTTTTCTGTCAATATGGTGTGCTGTGTGTACATTAATGAGGAAAAAAAATGAGGGGGGTCTGAATACTTTCCGTACCCACTGTATTCTTTAAACAGACAAATTCATTGCCAAAGGCAAAATATTACGTTTTCTTGTATTAAAAAAAAAACATCTAACAGAATTACAAACTTTTTAATAACTTTAAACTGATTATTTATTCATTCAAGTGGAGAGGAGAAAGAAAATCTTGGATTTTGTCTGTTTTTTTTGTCAGAGTGAGAATAACAGATGGGCCGAATAAAAAACAAGTCTCTGCCACCCACTCTTTTATCCATTTCTAGATCTTCTCCAGTCAATTTCTTGTTCTTTTTCACACCACCTCCCTCCTGTCACATCTCAGAGGGCTCTTGCTGAGCAGACTGTGCTGACTCACTGCATTGATTGGCCTGTCAGTCACTTGCATGTTAAACAGGTGGAGGTGGGGCCGACACATTAACATTCACCCCTCTTTAATTATCCTCCGCCTCCCCAAATCTGTTCTTCCCTGCGCAGAGCAGATGCCGAGATCTGTCTGTGTCTGTCTCTCTCGTAAGCAGTCATTTAGCGGATGCTTTGGGTTCAAACCAGCCAGATCTTCAATCACCGCTATCTGTCATATCTGCCACTGACAACAGTCCAAAGCGTACGAAAAGCTGGAATTCCATTCAAGAATCGAGTCAGACCTGAATGCAAGTTTGCAGTTAATTGATATTTTGACTCAGGAATTAGGCTAGTTGTATCTTTATTACATTAAATGGCATTTTGATGAAAGATTATGAAACTACGCGCACTCATGAATTGTTCACAATATGATTTCATGCCGAGTATAAATGAGAAAGTAAATTATAACAGCAGCTCACCTCATATTGATCTCCAGCACAAAGTCTTGCAAAACCCGCCAAGCCTGAAACAAAGGCATGCATCATTATTTAAGTACAGCACACTGTTAAGATCATGAAACAGACATTAAACCAGAAATGTGATATGAAACTGTAGGAAATTACAAATTAAAATCACCGTAGAATGGACCCTGGTATACAGAGACTGCCTTACCCTTCATTTTGACATGGAACTCCCCCAGCTGGTTCTCCAGCTCACTCTCTAGCATGCACATATTCTGCAGGGACAGAGACAGAGACAGTGGGTAAATACACAGAGGAAAAGAGAGTAAGGTGGCAGGCACAAGAGAAATAAACATACAATGTGTAGAAACAATGACGCAGCACACTACAGTTTGAATGCCTACTCTTCACTTAATAAAAAAAAAAAATAGTAGGCAGTACATAATATAAACTGTAAAGTATTCAGCACAATGGAGAGGGAGGAGAATAATGAGGAATCCTACAGTTGAATGCGTCTTGCAGCAACCATTAGGGTAATGAAAAGCACTTGACTGGGAAAGGCTGTCTCTCTTAATCAGATTGCCTCCCTGCATTATTTCCATGAGCATCTCGAATGAGTCTAGTTTGGCCCTGTATCCATCTCTATGGATGCAAAAAAACAGTGGCCTAAGCCATAATCAGTAAAGTGTAAGTCTCAACTTCCCGATAACGTCATAAAACTAATCACATTTTTCAGGGTGGTAATTTTACTGGAACCATGTATTGCACAATTATTTCTATATTAATCTCTTGATGTTTATCCTACCACTGTAAATAAATTATTTTATAATTTACCTACAACTTCAGTCCCTCATGGCTCACAAAAAACAAAGTGAACTAAAGTTAAGTGGATGCAATTTACTTTCACCAAACTGAAGTGGATTTCAATTCTGAATTGGTTACTAACAATGTAAATGTAAAGTAAATTTCAGTTCAGAAGTGAATTTAGATTGATAACGCTAAGCTGAAGCGAATTTTAGTTCTGAACTGGATTCATTTCACAAACACTAAGCTAAAGTGAATTTCAGTTCTGAAATTCAGCTTAATGACACATTAATGACAGCTTAATGACATTGTTTACTAAGCTGAAGTAAATTTCAGTTCTGAAGTGGATTCAGTTCACAAACACTAAGCTGAAGTAAATTTCAGTTCTTAATTGGATTGACTTTACTAACACTAAGCTTAAGTGAACTTCAATTCTAAAGTGGATTCAGTTCACAAACACTAAGCTAAAGTGAATTTCAGTTCTGAATTGGATTCACTTTACTAATGCTAAGCTGAAGTGAATTTCAGTGTTTAATTGGATTCATTTTACTAACACTAAGCTGAAGTGAATTTCAGTTCTGAATTAGATTCACTTTACTAATGCTAAGCTGAAGTGAACTTCAATTCTGAAGTGGATTCAGTTCACAAACACTAAGCTGAAGTGAATTTCAGTTCTGAAGTGGATTCAGTTTATTAACACTTAGCTGAACTGAATTTCAGTTTTGAAGTGGATTCTGTTCACAAACTCTAAACTGAAGAAAATCCTAGTTATAAAGTGGATTCATCTCAGTAACACTAAACTGATGTGAATTTTAGTTCTAAAGAGGATTCACGTTACTAAAAATAAGCTGAAATAATTTTAGTTCTAAAGTGGATTCACAAAGGGTTTTGAACCCTTTTAAATCCTATGTACACTGTTTACTGAAATCTTGTCTTTGTTCTTGTCTTTTGTCTCATCTATTGACAAAGTCCATAATTCTACTTCCTCTTCCACCCATACTTTCATCTAACCAAACACTCTTACCTCCGTGTACTCTTTGAAGCTCTTGTTAGCTTCAGACAGACTCTCTCTGGCCTCCCTGCTGCCTGGAGAGGCTGTGTAAGCCTTCACCATCTTATCGGCTCCATCTCGCAGTCTGCGCTGCATACAGTAAGCCTCATAGAGTTCGTCAATCTGCAGACACACGCGTAACACCCCAGTGTTTATTACAATCAATGAAAATATATTAATTATGTATAATATATTGATGTGTGTTCATAACAAATGTCTTCAATAACATTTCCTGCTGAACAGCCCATCTTGAGCAGTGTTTTGAAACATGGTAGCTGGTTTCTAGCTGGTCATTACATGGAAATCCATTCTTATTATCTTACATTTTCGCTTATCAAAATGTATTTTGCTTTTAAGGATGTTTAGATTTTTGGAATAAGAATTTTTTGCCCCTTCAACCAGCAACAAACTAGCAGGTCATACCAGTTTAAAATTGTCAATCTGGATTTTGTAACATGGTGATTGGCCAATGAAATAATGACCATCTTAGAGCAGCTACAAACTAACTACCATGTTCCAAAGCAAGCTGCTACTTAAGCTGAATTTTCACTTAATGAGGTAGCCACAGTTTAGTCTACATCCAGATGGTGACACTGACTGATTAACTGCATATGCACACACATGCACAAACCACAACATCTTGTTGTTAAATCTTTTCTTGCTCAAGTACTTCCTGCTGGGCCTCATTGTCTTCAATACAAGTAATTTAGATTTTATTGATCTATCCGCAACACCTTGAGCAGATCTGCAAATGTGGAAGTCAGTAATGGAGGCAGGAAACTGTTAAATGTCAACTAAAATTTAGGCAGACGTTCAGAGTAAGAGACGTTATCTTCACAAATTAATTCTGTAATTATTCACAGCACGAGTCCTGCAATTCAGAGATTAGAAAACAATGAGCTGTCCAACGTAAATGAGTATGAATGAATGAGAAAAAATACAAACAGTATGAAAGCTCCATTCACTTCACTGGAAGAATGTTCAGCAGGGCAAGGGAGGTGTGTAAGGTGTGTAGCGTCTCGACCAATCTGACACACTAATTTTAATTTGATTTAACAAATCAATTATTCATTAGGTTAACAAATCGTCACAGTCCCCTCACTCAATAAACTGGATGCCAGGATATCTGCTGAACACCAGGCCCTCTGGTCACCGTGACAACTAATCATGATATCACTGGTTTTATGACCCCCCAGGAATGTGAGAAGGATAGCCCACTCTTGTCCCAAGGAAAAGCAGAGTAGAAATGGACTGTGTTCTAGTTAATTCAGATTGTGACAATAAAAAGCAATACCCAACTGATGATAATCACAGAAACACCACTGTTTAAGCTTTGCAAAAAATAGCAGTATTTTGATTACTGATTACAAAAATTACTGAAAATGTATACTCTCTTATATGTACACTATAATTAAAATTAAGGCTATAAATTAAGACATTTTATATATTTTTTTGAGTGCCACCATGCTTTACTGCTTGAGCCAAAAGAACATACTCAAAAGGGAAAAATAGTTCATAAAGTAAATCATGCATTTTTGATTAATTTAATTGTTTAATACAGAGGTTTTCTTGTAGGTATAGTGACTGGGTTGGTAAAATTAGGCTCTAATAATTTGATTTTTTTAAAAATTAAAAAATAATAATATAATTTAAACTATATTTCAGAATTTCTATTTTAAAATGTAAATTATTTCTGTGATGGCAAGCTGAATTTTCAGCAGCCATTACTTCAGTCTTCAGTGTCACACGATAATAATAATCCCAATAGGCTGATCTGGTTCAAGAAACACTTCTTATTATAAATGTTGAAGACAGTTGTGCTGCTTAATATTTTTGTGGAAATCATGATACATTTGTGGTACAAGATGCCTTGATGAATGAGAAGTTGTCTTTACTGTCATGTTTGATCAATTTAATGAATCCTTGCTGAATAAAAGTATTAATTTCTTTCTTTTTTTTTTTATCTAACTGACCCAATAGTCTATGAAATACATGAACAGCAGTATCCTGCAGAATTACCCAACTCAGTGGGGGAGCCTCATACTGGTTGTTCACACATACACATAAATGTGCAGGTCGAGTAACACAAACACACACAATCCTCGAGACTGAAGGCGAGAACAGGGGCGAAAGAGTCTGCAGCCCTTAAAAGGTTTCCTGCAATAACCGAAAGAGGAACGAAGGAAAGACATAAAGTGAGAGAAGGAAAATTTTCATTTCCTTCATTTTTCAGTGTGTCCATCTGGAGGTGGTTAGGATCCGTCCCAGTTTGCGTGTTCCAGCATACTGGAAAGACATGGGACTGCCGTTAGCACTGCTTAGCAAAGTCACATAATATTAAGGGGTACTTTCTCACTTTGCCCCTCCTCCACTAAAATAGAGGCCCAAAATATCTGACCCAGCAAAAGCATGGAGACTCCCTGCATCGCCCTCCGCTCATAAAACGCACAATAATCACACATGAAATGAGGCTGTGAAGGAAAGAGAGGAAGAGGAGGATAGAGAGGAAGGCCTCTTCCTGTAGTGCAGCTGGCTTGGGTTAGTTTAGGCTGTTAGTTCAGACTCCAACAGGTCTAGTGAATGGTTTAACCGCTCCCCAAACAAGCTAAGAATGCGAGCAGCCCCTAAAGCTGTCCTCTGCCTGTGACCCGTGTCCCCTGCAGTGTGTGAACATCTATGTGTGTATACAGGGGGGAAAAATCTGTCTGAGAATGTGTCCTCAGTGAGGGGTGGATTACGCTTTGCTGTATATCCTGTAGGAGACTATCTATCAGGAAAAAGTCACTGTTTAGACGCAGACACGTACGTGCATGAATGCATGAGCACAACCGTACAGAGGCTGTTATTGGGGCCAGTGGGCCATGCAAGAGCTAGCAGTCACTAACACAGAGACATCTGAACAAGAACAGACCTGCTGAGCTACAAAACACATGCAACTCTGTTTGACATGAGTGGCACATCCTGGTGACTGCTCAAGAAATATTTAATTTCAAGACTTTTTTTTAAATCTTTTTTTAAATCAGATGGTATATTAATCAAGTAAAAAAAAAAAAACTTACACCTTGAAAACATGAGTACATTGTAATAATTGTTTTCCAAACATATCCTACTTTTACAAATTTAATGAATAGTACATTTTGGGGTGGTTTTATACCACTTGTGCATTCAAAATATTTGCATAGCTATGCTTTACAAAATACTTTGCATTTCAGTTAAACGACAAGCTTACCTTACTGAGATGAAACTCCAGCCGCCTCATAAATCTCTCAATTACTTTCACTTGCTGAGAGAACAGAGAACAACATGTATAATGTTTCAAATATTATCAAGAGGCATCAACAATGAAATAATATGAAATAAGAGTTGATGGTGCCAGGCTTTTTTGATTGTAGTCTCTAAACCAAAACCAGATGAAAATAAAGCAGCGCTCACCTTGTCAAGTTCATACAAAAAACCCTACAAAAGAGCAATAGAGATATTACAAATCAAACATTAACATCAAAAAAAGACAGAAAAAAAGCTCAGATTTGAATGGCTTAGTGCTGTTTGAAAACTGTTGAAACTGCCAAAATGTCTTTACGTTTGGAGAAAGAAAAAATAAATAAATAAATATATATATATATGTTTATATTTTGTGTGTGTGTGTGTGTGTGTTTTGTATAGACTTACCAAGCGAGAGTTTCTCTTAGACTCCTTCATTTGTCTGTTCAGACTGTCCAGCTCCATCTGATGGACTTGCAGGTAGGATCTGTAGAAGTATGTACATCAGCTAACAGTGTCTGTGCCACTGTCAATGACTAATGTATTGTGCAAGCATAATCATGTTTTATAATAGCTCTCTGTGTGAGCAACTGATAACACAGTGTATTACGCATCTAAATGAGCTGTAATGGCTAATAAGCAAAAGCACAGCGCACGTATTTGTGTACATACTGCAGTCCTCTCTTCAGGGCCTCGTACACCTCGTCCAGCCTCTCAGGCTGGGGCACCTTTGGGGGAGGAGATTTAGTGGACAGCGTGAACATCCTGCTTACTCTGGAGGGAGTCTTCCTTACACACGCTGGGGTGCTGAAAACAGAAAGGTTCCTAGGACACATAAGAGGTACATAAAGCTTAAGTACACATTTATAATTTTTGAGGTCATTTAAACACTTTCTCAAACCCTAATTTAATGCGTTAACTACAACAGTATGTTTAAAAAATAATAATAATAATCATTTTTAACGCAAACCTAGTTAGGCCAACTTTTAATCCCAACCCCCAAAAAATAAAAAATATAATTAAAATTATATATATATATTACATTTTTTTTAAATCTCCAAAAATATATTAAAATATTTTAATATAAAACAATAAATTAAGAATACATTTAAAAGCTATTCTTATTTCACCTTATGTTACCTTACTTTCTCATATTTAAATCAGCAGAATTCACAACTATAATGCTGAAACCATCCCAGGAAACCAAACATTTGAGTCTGTATGGCATAAAGTTTGGCAAAAGATTTAGTGACAACACAGAAAAAGACCTGTAAGGGAGGTGACATTCCCATTAACCGGACAGAAATGCTCTCATCATCCTTTTGATTGAGCCCTGAACTATAAGTAAACATTTTGTTCACAACAGGATCTGTTTTTTTGACCAATGGAAGACGAGGGGTTTGAATGCAAAAAGTATTATAGTCAGCCAAAGAAACAATCTCTTATCTAAATCAATAGCACTTTAGAACAACACTTGTGCTGATCGATTCAAGCTGCAATTACTCTTCCAAGATGACAGCTCAATAAAATGGAGAGAAACACTGATGCATCTTGACACAATTTTCTCCTGTAAAGCTGTATGAGGATAAAGCAACAATAGTTGGAGGACAGGATGGTTCAGGATCTGCAGGTAAATATAACAGTAAAGCAAGTCACAGTAACAAAAGGAACACAGAAAGAGAGGGAATGATAGGGAAATCAGTTATTTAACCAATGTTATTCTTTATTGTATATTTTTAACCCATATTCGTGTCTATCTTTCATCCTCCCGTTCATTCTCTCAGAATCTCTTGTTCGGTGTTCCTCCCTGTTGTCCTGATAGTGGCCTTCTTTAATGTTTCATGCTTTTTCTGTCTCTGCTCTATTTCAACAGCAGGGGTTTGAAGAGAGCTCTACATGCTTTTGAATCAAACTACATCAACCACAAGAGTCAGTGCTCAAGAGCCACTCTGCCCCTCTAAAAAATTAACACGATGCCAAATACTTACCTTTAAAACACAGCACACATACACTTGTACAAAAACAACACTTATTTACTCAACAGATAAAAAAAGAGAAAATTATTCAACCAAGTCTGTGCGGAGTGTACAAAATCTACTGGCTAAAAAATCAACACAGATTTTCATGAAAATCTGTCCCGTTTTGTTTGAGCAAAGCCTTTTTGTAGACAATTAGTCATCGACCGATATTGTTTTTTTGACAGCCGATGCCGATATCTTGGAAAGCAGGGTGGCCGATGGCCGATATAAAGCCGATATAATTTTATTTATTTTAATTAATGTTTAAGAAATTTGAAATCATTTGAAAATGGATTAAAAAGTAAATGTGTTAAATAAACATACTTATACTTTAGATGACAAAGTATTTTTCACAAATAAATAAATATTTAATAAAAAATATAATTAAAAAAAAGGAAGTAAACACTGTAACCAACAGGGCACTCAGTATTCTGGGAAGTTTGTGTGCATTGGGATTTGGGAATCATATTTTTTCAAATAAAGCCAAGGTAACACTCATTTTATATACAGCACACAGTGGAAATTACATGAATATGGCAGTGGGCAAATGCATAAAGCACAGCATAATTTGAAATCACGAATTTAAAGTTTGTCGATCGCGCATCTCCAGTGAAGCTAAACTCTCCTCCTGTCCGCATTCAATATGCACGGACCGTCACGCAGAGAACACGCAATCAAAATAAAAGTCCCGCCTCGAATGCATCGGCCAAACAGGAAAACTTATCGGCCGATGCCGATATTTTAAAAATGTCAAATATCGGCCAATATATCGGCCTTGGCTATATATCGGTCGGCCACTATAGACAATGATAAATGTCCATGCATTCCTGCTGCCTGCAGCTATTAGGAAATGTATGCTGGTTCCACAGGACGTCCTGTCAGATGTGACTTCCCTTTAAAGATGTTTAATGGTCATAACTGAAAAGGCTAATGCTATATATTGTGAGCACTTGCTCCAAGTTAACCTTTTGTGTTTTAGGCTAGGGTAATAGACATTAAAATCATCAATATATCATGAGTATTTGATATATCACCCATTCCTAATGCATGTTGATTGTTTGTGGATGTATATGTTAACACTGACCTGTAAGATTTATCGTAGGAGTTGACTCCGGCGAAGGACTGGCTCCTAGTGATGGATCTGGCGACGACCCTCCGCGTGGGGCGCACAGAAAGGGACATGGTGGACACAGCTTTGGAGGGACTCCCTGCAGAGAAACAGGAATAATTAGATGAGGTCAAAGTTGGGTACAAAGACATAACATCTACTGGTAAATCAGTCACCGAATATAAAACAGGAGATAATTTCTAAATGAAAGTCTATTCTAGAGCTGGTGTCTTTGCATTTGCATCTTAAATGTTACTATTTAAAATGTAGGCAATAAAATCCCATTATAAGACTTTGGTGCAGTGCTCCTCGGGCCATGAATGAATCAGTGAATTGTTTAATTTATTTAACAGAGGATATTGCGGTTCTCTAAGAATAAACTCTCTGACCACTCAAGATAAAATAATTTTTGATTAATTTTAACTGTATTTCCAGGAAACAATATCAGACCTAATAGCTGTTACATTGAGTCTTTGAAAGGAAAATACCTGACTAATCTGAGCTTTGTAACTCTTTTCTTGTGTACCTTTCATAGTTCATCTCAAACTATGTGTAAAACACAATGAAAAGACAATCAGTCTTGCAACTAAAAGGAAGAAAAGCAAGTGATTATAAACAAGTGAGGTTTCAGGTGAAACACTCACCCCTACTATTGCAAATCCAAATGTAGGTAATCTGTTCGTCCTCCAAAAACTAAACCCACAAAGTCGTTCATGTGTCATCATTTATTCACTTCTCTGCCATTCCAAATCTGTATGACTTTCTTTTCTCTGTGTAAAAGAACTATGATGTTTTGAAAAACACTGGTAACAAACCAATTTACAGTTCCCATTGACATTCATTATATTTTTGGTTACCAACATTCTTCAAAATACCTTATTTTATGTTCCACAGACAAAAAGAATGAAATAAAGGTTTGGAATGACACGAGGGTAAGTAAAAGATGTTCCATTTCACATATCTGTCACTTTTAAAAGTCAACAAGAAATGGCATGATGAGATAAAATAAGTATTTATGAGTGAAAAAATAATAATACTGAAAGAGGGGAAAAACATGATTTTATCCATAAGGAATTGACTGGATCATGAAATGCAGCATAGTTAGATAATGTTTGGGATGGGACAGTATGATAAACAGGAGTTCTTGGTGACATCACCTAAGAAGCAAAGTTTTTTCAGAGACGATTTTCTTATTGGGAACCAAAGAATTGTTCAATAAGTCAAGAAATACGTGTCAAAGAGACTATATGGGGTAATTTTTTGGTTTATATTGGCTTTAATGACTTTTGTCCATGCACTGAGTTCCATAGAAGAAAGTCATAAGGGTTGGAACAATATGAGGGTGAGGTCAATGATGGCAGAATGCCCAATTTTGGGTGAACTATCCCTTTAAAGTTTAAAATTGACCACCCTGACTAATGATGATCAGTTATCATATCTTAACATGAATCCAGACAGAAATGGGCAGGAAATATAAAAACTAAATAGAGGGTATGCATTGACGTCACTTTCCTGCCGGAACATGCCCCTTTCAGCCGGACAGAGTGGCAAAAGAGCCTGCTGCATAACTGGATTTAAATATTTAAACTAAAGGTTGTTGGACTCGATATAGTGTTCCTTACAACTTAAAGATTCAGTGGTCAATGGATATTGATATGCAGCCAGGAATCATGCTTCCTGACATTTATATGTGTCTGACTGCGACGCCGGGGAAATACATAAAGCAAATTTAACTGTGAACACATTTTGTAAATACAAAATAGGTTGGTCTAAATCTGGGTGATCACTTATATCAATGTTATATATATCGTCATATCGTCCAGCCCAAAAACGTAGGCCTATATAGTTTTTGTTAGTGGTCGACCGATATATCGCCAAGGCCGATTGGCATTTTTCAAATATCGGCATTAGCCGATAAGTTTTTCTGTTTGGCCGATGTGTTTGAGGCGTGACTTTTATTTTGACGGCGCTGAGAACGGCAGCACCTGAGAGCGCACACCACTCACATTCTCCCTCTTGTTCGCTGTCGTCATTCAGTTCTGTCTATAATAATCAGATAGAACTGTTAAACAAAGGAATTAACATGTATACAAAAAAGTATTATAACGATTGCTTTAATATTATTAGTAATAGAAAGGCAAACATTTTAATACTTTCTCATTTGCCGTCAGCATTCAGCAAATACGCATTTATATCATTTAAACAAATCTTTGAATGACTAATGAACATTTAGTTTCACAAACCTTGCAAACTTAGTCGGATCCAGTTGTGAGATCTTGTGAAGTGTGCATGTGTATCCTGCATGATTGTGTGTTCTCTGTGTGACGGTCGATCCGTGTGAATTGAATGCTGACAGGAGGACAGTTCAGCTTCACTGGAGACGTGCGATCGACAAACTTTAAGTGATTTCAAATTATGCTGCGCTTTATGCATTTGCCCACTGTCATATTCATGTCATTTTCATTGCGTGCTTTATGTAAAATGAGTGTTACCTTGGCTTTATTTGAAATATATATATATATATATATATGATTCCCAATGCACACAAACTTCCCAGAATACTGAGTGCCCTGTTGGATACAGTTTACTTACTTTTTTTTATTAGATTTTTATTAAATATTTATTTATGAAAAATGTGTTGTCTTCTAAAGTATAAGTATGTTTATTTTACACAATTATTTTTAATCCATTTTCAAATGATTTAAAATGTCATTTGTAAATACAAATTAAAATAAAAAAAATTATATCGGCCTCCCTGCTTTCTAAGATTTCGGCATCGGCTGTCAAAAAACCCATATTGGTCGACCACTAGTTTTTGTCAATGTTTATTTAAAAACATCCAGTTTTGCAGAATATAAGATGGTAAGAGTTGTCAATATGATAACAATACAATATATAGGGCATGATTTTACCGCAAAATTCAACATATTAACATAAAATGATAACTGCAAATCCGTGTTTCACTGCCTGGAGTGGAGTCCATTTGTTTCTGTGAATTGCAGGGATCCATTTGCTTCTCTTTTCTGTAGCTTTTGGCAGTCTGTAAAAATATACCTTAGATTTCTTGTCAAATCTATTTGTACAGTCAATTGCAAAGCTCTTTCTCATTTTAGATGTTTTTTGTGTGTTCTGTCCTAGCATTCATGCTGCAAACCAATGTTGCCATTAGGGCTGCACGATTAATCGAATGCGATTGTCATGTGCATTTTGTTAAAAAAGCCGGTTCTGTAATCAGCAGGAAATCATCATCACGTGCTTTCAGATGGAGCAGAATTTACTACACATTGCCTTAGTTCACTGACAAGTTACGCAAAAAAAAAAAAAAAAATCGCAGACGATTAAGAAATCGTTCACGATAATGACAGCTGTATGCATAGCTTCTCAGTGAACTACGGCTCTGTGAAGTAAATGCTGCTCCATCTGAAAGCATGTGAAAATACCACATTTAATAACATTTTTATTCCAAACTCACTTCATAACGTCAGTCGAGTGTTTGAAATACTGTGAGATGATGTGGCTTCTTACACAAAATAAGGCATGCAACATATTTCATAGTATTTAAGCAGTGATAAAGGAATTGCATTATAAATATACTTTATTTTAATGAAAATTATAATAATAAGAACTCAGATAAACCATATATTGCCATAGTCGTGTGTTTATTAGTCACACTGAATCAATGAAAGCAGTTGAATCTTCTGTTTATTCAGCTGCAGCCATAGGCATTTTCTGGGTTTCTTCTGTGAGGCGTATTTGGAGTTTCAGCGCGAGAGCGCCCTCTGACCTTTGGATGGAGATTTACTGCTGATCACAGAACCGTGCTTCACTGAAAGATACGCATGACAATCGCAGCTTCTGTCGAATCGCGATCTCGATTCCATTTCGATTTATCGTGCAGCCCTAGTTGCCATTCAGTCTTTTTGCCACTCAGTGGACAGAACCATAGTCACTCCAGCTGACGGTGACGTCACTTGCATTCCCTCTATAATAACATTTCTACATAGCCTAGAAATACTGCATGCTACTTGATTTATTTATTTTTTATCAGTTCAATCCGTTTTGCTTAACTGATTCAAAACTTTGATTCACGGACTCATTTGCATCATCACTTTAATTTGGTCATGGTTATACATGCTATATCACACTGGAAAACAAAGAGAAAGAGAAAATATTCATGCTCTTCAGCGCAGATAAACAGTTTCTAGATTAGCCATTCATGGAGTTCCTTGTACATTATCAGTGAGGTCTCTTATCAATGACCCTGTCATGGGCTATCAGACATCACCGCCATAGAAACACCCCATGGACACAACGTGGGAGGACAGAGCAGTCAAGATTACACTTAACACCACACCAATCACTGTGGATTTTAGCCAGGACAGGAACCAAATGGACCCACTCAGCCCACAGCTGAACAAGAAACATGATGGGAAAGCACACAGACAGAAAGACACTTAGACCAGAGATACACCTACATAGATTAGCAACGATAGGCTGCTAGTGCAAACAAACGAGTCATGTTAATCAGAGTCAATAGTCTGAAGTTATCAGCTTAACGGAAAGTCAGTAGTAGCAAGTTACATGAACACAGAACAAAACTTTAATGTGACTACATATCCAACACAAAACAACAGATCATTATGTAACCGCAGCAGTTTCCCCATGGCTCTGTGAGGGCAGGTTGAGCACTGCGAGTTTTGTTTTAAATTGAATTAAGATTTAATTTTTCCAGAGAAGAGCAAGGAGAGGGAAAACAGGCCTTGAAGTCACATTAGAGAGAAATTCATTTCATAACACATTAGAGAGTGTGAGCCAGCATATTTGAGCACATGAGATCATTTAAGCTGTGACCCTAGCACAAGTGCGTTTTAGTCACCATAATGACCTTGACTTGGATGGTCAGCTCTCAAGATTTAGTCAACAAAGATGGGCAGTGCCTTGGATACAGCAAAGCATCACTGCATTGAGGAAGGAAGCCAGAGTTTATTTTAAACTCGAGTGGAGGACAAGGAACAAACCCAGGCACTTTATGAAGACCTTTAGATTATTACATATGTAATTCTGCACTACTGAGAGGACCCTAAAGGCCACCTGTGACTC